TGCGATCTTCCATAGAGATATCCTTATTTTGGTCTGGTAGAGGAATATTTTCATTTTTCCTGACAGATCTCCATTCCTCATAATTAGGAGTTAGCATTTCTTTTGCTGCTTTAGCTCGGATACAAAAAGTTGTTTTTCAAGCTGTAAAGGCTTTCATGATATTTCTTTTATAATTTTTGCTGTGGAATGCGAACTCAGATGAATGTAATCCAACAGTGACAGGTACAAATTGACGACCTTCATACTGTCTTATGACCAGAAGTGGTGTATATCCAATTCCTCCCCACAATCCGAGCAACATTATCCAGTTGTAATCACCACATTTGTAAAAGAATTCCCTTTGGATTTGCCACGGGGCTCACCAAACAATATCATTGCTTTGCAGATTTCGAAAGGCATTAATCCACATATCTTTCTTAATTTCTTTCGGCCATTCTTGCTCCAGAAATTCTTTCAATGGTGAGTAGTCTGTATTAAAGCGTCGGTATGAAACCTTTTATGTCCTCCAGAAATGGCTACGGATCCAGACATATAACAATTGGGTACACCCTGAGAATCTTCCACCTCCTAGCTTTCTACAAGCGTTTAATGATCTGAAAGTCTCTGCTAGAATTGCAGATACAGGATTAATCTTTTTTGGTAGCTTCTCAAACAAATCTACTACTGCAGCTTTAATATATCCCAATACTTTTGGGAAGATGATCATACCATACATACTTAGAGCAAAGAGATTGAATCGTACTTTAGTGTCTGGATGACTCTGAATAAGTTCTTTAATGTTGGTCCAAGCAATGCCTTCGCTTTCGCCCTTTTGTTTTGTACGGGATGCCACCCATTCTTCTCGTACTCCAACAATCTTTGCTAATTTAACTCGAAAAGGTTGAGTTTTAATTGACTTTGAATAAATTCGATTCTCCAAAGCCCCTTCTATATGTAGCAAAGTTGTGTACTCTTCAATAGTAGGGACCAAGTCCTCTTTATTGAGAGTAAAGCAATTGTACACTGGATTCCAGAATTAAATTAGGGCTCGAAGTAAGTCATCATCAACTTCGACATAGAGCAAATATGGAATGTCTCCGTAAGTCTGATAAAAATGCAACTTTTTGTTTGAATCCCAGTTTTCCCAAATGCTTCGCAAATCTTGCATGTCATTTCTTTTTAGCGAAACTGGAGCATAACTGGCTAAGTCAGATACATAGTCATCTTGCAGACTGTCTCCTCCTTGTCTTTGTAAGTCGTCAGCCCACTGTCTTACTTCTGAGTTTAGAACTATTTGATTTGAACACTTTTTATCCATGGATGAAGGTTTTCCAATGAGACAATTAACACGAGGATCAATGCCTTTTATCCTGTATGATGTTATGCAAATAGAAAAAATAAAGAACACACAAAAAGAAATGAATTAGTTTACATAATAAAAAATTTAATAATAATATCTACCTAAATATCCTTATTTAAACATGCTTTCTTCATATTAAAAAAATTTAAATTCACATGAAATTTAATCAGTAAGAAAATAAATAAATAAACTAAAGGGAAAGTTAGAATTCATTTCTCCTGTGTGTACACCTATTTTGGACAATATTTCGGCATGGCTTCAGATCGGAAGAGTTTCTAGGGTTTATTATATGTAGGGTTTCAGATCTAAGAATAAAGGTACCCGAATTGTCCTTGTTAGTGCCCCCTTGGGCTATTAACCCTTAATCCTAGTCCATCACAAACTAAAGTGGATCGAGTTCAATTCGAGGGGATACACTTCTCTATGCCTGACACAAAGAATAAATTCTCACGAAGACATAGAGCATATGAACCCCGAAAGTTACTTGCTAGGTCTGACACGGAGAATAAATTCTCACGAAGACGTCGCTTTCACTCCCACTTAAAAGGGACAAACTCAATTATAGAGCTTTATGTTATGCAATGCAAGTATTGTGTGTGAGGAGAAATGTTCAAACCTCTGACAGAAAAATAAATAATGAAATAAAATACTTGCAAGTAAAATGAAATATAAATAATATAAAAATATAAAGTATATAAAAAATTTGAAAAGAAAGAATTATAAATTAAATATATGAATTTTTAATTTATAATTAATAGAGACAATTTATAATTGATTTTAAAAGTTTGACGGTCCCCAGCAGAGTCGCCAAGCTGTCGTAATCGGTTTTCGTCCGGGCACGAATTTTTTACTTGGCGGGAAAAGTGATATGAATAAATGGTTTTAAAAATAAAATAATTTGGGAGTCGCCATCGGCCTTTTGGGTCAGGTAGGTCGAATACCTAAAAATTATATTTTAAAAGAGTTTTAAGAAAACATTAGTTAAAAGATGAACTGATCTGCGTTTATAACCAAAAATTCGTTCTTTTTAATAAAAAAGGGATTCGTAGTCGGTTACGTTTAGGGAAGGATTAGCACCCCTACAACACCCAAAATTGGTACTTTATTAATTAAAAATTGTCTCTATTATTAAAAATTTAAGAATTCAAAGATATATTTAATTTATAATCTTTTTTTATTTCAAATTTATGATTTTATGAAAATATATTAAACATAAATAAGATATTTACTTATTTAATAATATCAGAAAATGACTTCTAGGTGCCTTAAGACAGCTCTTTTCTTCGATATTAAATATTATAATAATTTAAAACAAATTAAATTATAAATTTTTTATAATAAAAATACCAGAATAGGACATCCAGTTGTATTAAGACTGCCCTTTTCTTTGATATTGGAAAATAAATAAATATTAAAATATGATTAAAAAAATAATTTATGTAAAATCAAATTAAGATTTAATATAAATTATTATTTATTATATATATTTATATGACTATATAATAATAATAAATATAATATTTAAATATAAACAAGTAAAATTAAAAAATAAATAAACAATAATAAAAATAAAATTAGAACTATATATTTAAAAATAATAAAACTTTATAATAAATGAAAATATTTAAAATTAGTGACTAAATTATAATCTAATAGAATTAAATACCTAATTCATAATTAATCATTTAAAATTTGAGTGACTAAAATAAAATTATATAAAATTCGAATATCAGATTAAAATAAATTAAAAATATGTACTCGGGATTAAAATATTAATTATTAAAACTAAAGGACTAAATACGTATTTTATCCAAAATATTTATAATTACGGTTAAGGGCTAAAATATAAATAAATAAAATTTAGAGACTAAATTAAAAGGATCATAAATTCGATTCAGTGACTAAAATGTAAAATATATAAAATAGAGGGACTACGGATAGGGTTTAACATTTAAAAATTACATAAATAGCCCTCCCCAAAACGACGTCGTTCGGGAAGGGCCATTTAAGCCCCAAACGGCTGGCCCGAAGGGCCAGCTATCTCATTTCTCAGTTTACTCTCTCTCTCTAAACTGAGAGAGTTTAAAACACTCTCGCCTCTCTCTAGCTTCCCTCATCGGAGGGAAGCCGGTCATCGGCCGGCAGCCGTTCGTCGGTGTTAACCCCGCCGCCGGCCACCGCATTCGGTGGCCAGAAAAATTTTTTTACACCTAAATATAGATCGGACCATCCTATTGATGGTTCCGATGACCGTTTCCCTTAAAACAACCCCGATCGGAGCAAATCTACGAAAATACCTTCGGTTTTCGAAGGTTTCCGATGATGCGTGAATGTTCCGGTGATGTTGCAGTTTCCTCAGTAAGTATCTCTTCGACTTTTCCTTGCTTATTTTGGTGTTGGTTGTTGCTGGTTGTTGTGAGTTGGTCTCTATTTTTTTGTATCTCTGCTCTCGGTTTTGTTTCTTTGTGTCTGTTGGGCTTTTTTTTTCTTCCTTCCAGGTTCGGTGGTGGCTTTATAGCCATCACCGGCGCTTGTCTCGGACCGGGTAAAAGAGTGGAGTCTGGTGAGTCACCGAACTTCCAGTGGTGACTCACCGGTGGGGCGACATGTGTGCGGCTGGAGTGGCTCTTCTGGAAGCTTTCGACGAGACGTGGCAGCGGTGGAGATGGTGGGAGTAGCTGCGGCGGCTGTGTGGCCCTATGGTATCATCACCCTAGGGTTTGTGCTGGATGAGTGTGGGCTGTTGGATCTCTCAGATCCAACGGCTGAGATTGAGGCGGCGGCGCACGGGGCTAGGGTTAGAAAACCCTAACTAAAACCCTAAATGTTTTAGGGTTTCCATCTGGTTTGGGCCAACTGGTTGTTTGTAACTGGGTCGGTCCAGTTTTCATTGGGCCTGTAATTATTTTTTAATAATAATAATAATATATATAATAATAATAATAATAATTATAATAATAATAATAAATAAATAAATAAGTAAAATGTGTAAAAAATTAGTATCTTCAAGACCCAAATTGATTATCAACTGAAGGGGATGCAGACCTCTTATAATTTTGACGTCATGTAATTCAGTTGAATAATATATACATAAACTCAAATAAGCAGTGGATCTAAAATGATGACAAGTTATAGACCTCTCCATGCAGTGACTTCCCTATTCAATGCCCTTTTTAAGATTTCCACGAGATATTGGAAGATCTCCATTTTGAATATTGGTTCTGCTCGGCTACATGGCTCATATCTTTGGCAATGAATCCTTTTTTGGCACACATATCAAGCTAAAAGTTGGAAACTACGTACTAATATTGTGGTTAGCTGAAGATGAATGATTTTATTTCTGTAAATAGGATTGTGTTTCGTAATATCTATTAATATAAATGCCTTGCATACAAGGCAAGTCAATTGATAGTACTCCGAGTCTCAATCCTTCCTGTATGATCTGTGAGTCTAACAAAAGATAAAACAATCATGAGAAGTGTACTTATAACATCAGGGTAAATATTAACCTATTTCATGTTCTTGAACTGCCTTTCGTTTGTTTGTAACTCATATGAGCTCCTTAATAACAGTTATTGTTTTTCCAAATTCTTGTTGTTTTCATGTTTCTGGGAGTTGTTTTTCTTATTCTAGTAAATACAGTTAATTATTGTAAATTGATTTTAGTGGAAATTATAAAAAACTTGCTTATTTTTCTCTTAATTTATTTCTCTCATCTTAGAACTAATGAGCTGAAATTAGACATTGATGTTCCTGACGACGTTACTATGAAATTCAAGCAATTCTGGTTAGACTTTAGAGACACCCCATTGAAAGGTAAGAATAGCTGGTCATTTATTCTTCCGCTTGATATTTAATGTCTAGTAATAAATTTTTTCTTTATGGTTATATAGCATTTTCTTACCATATCTTTTGGAACCCTTATGGGGCATGCCATTATTTTTCATATGATTATACATTTAGTTTGGCTATTTCCATTATTTACAATGGATTTTTTAACCTTTTACTGCATAAGTGAAAGTATCTTAATGCCGACCCAGGGAGAAATGCTATTCTACGAGGAATTTGCCCACAAGTTTTTGGACTCTTCATTGTGAAACTTGCAGGTGGTGTTCTGTCAGCCCATATTTTCTCTTGATACACATTCATGCATGTGTAGGCATATATGAAACTTTTGGAGTAAAACATACCGAACATTTATTTCCTTGATCTTAGTTGCACTCACACTGATTGGAGGTGTTCAACATGTTGATGCTTCTGGGAAAAAAATTCGAGGAGAGTCTCACTTGCTTCTTGTTGGTGACCCAGGCTACGTTATAGGGTTCTTTTTAAGTATTCACTTCTTTAGCCTTTAAATTGATCTGCAATTTCATGTTTGAACTGATAGCCTCTTTTATCGAGCCATATTCCTTGAAAGTAACTGAATAAGGTCTTTACTTGGTACCATGGAAAATATAGTTAATCTGTATCATGGCTTATAATTATTTACCTGCTGTATCATGTGATATGCTAGATTTCAATATTTTGGTTCTAGACAATTATAATTGGCTGCAAACCCCTGCGTTTTTTGTTTAAACCCTCAAGACCCCTGGATGATCAGTCCCCAAAGGTATACCATAATTAAGAAGTTCCTGGTCAAATCCTTTTTCCAAATAGTTGAGAATTGGACTTGTCCATGCATTTATGCATGTTAGGACTGACTCAGGCCTTCAAGTACTGTGCACAACTTAAATTTCTCTATGATTTAAAAAGATAGTGTTCGTGAAATGCTCGAATTGTTTGAATACTAGGATTCATGTCACGTAAAGAGTAAAGTATTATAATTTTTTGTACAGGTACGGGGAAATCTCAGTTCCTCAAATTTGCTGCAAAATTAAGCAACCGATCTGTCATCACAACTGGTCTGGGAAGCACTAGTGCTGGACTGACTGTTACTGCTGTCAAGGATGGTGGTAACTTTCATTTCACCTTTATTGGAATTTTGGATTCCCTTTAAGGAAAGCTGTTAATGTTGATAATAAATACTTAAATAGTAGTCCACATGATTATGCAATTTAATTAATTTTGTGAACTTGAAGAAAATAATTATGAATTGGATTCAACAACTGCTGAGGTATACTGTATACTAGTCAAGGGTGATAGTTCTAGAGCCAAGAATATGAAAAATGGTGGAAGTTTGGCTACATTTGCATCACTTTTCCTTTTGATTGTTCAAATAATTCTAGAGACAATAAAATTAAGGTAAATGCACGCTTTAGATTTGCAGCAAATCACCTAAAGGTTGTGTTAAAAGTTCCACAGCTTGACTAGATGGAAATATATGATTCATTCTTTACTCTTGGCATGAAACACGGGTGGAACGAACAGCGAACATTTCTGCACCTGAGATAACTGAAACAATGACCAAAATTCAGAATTCACTCTTGTTCTTTTCAAAAGGTTTTATGTGAATATTTTATTCTGTTGTTGGGTGTAGCAATTTAATGGCAATGATAACTGGAAGGAAAGGAGATGAGTGAAAGTTGTTGGAGCTAGAAACTAGGATATTAGAAAGGTTCACAATACATTATACCATTCAATTAATTTTGGAAGTTCATGAAACTATAAATTGAATATGAAAATATATTCATATGATTTTTTTTTATCGCAGTTTGGATCATTTCTTCAACTTATTTACCTCTAAATCATTTTATAATGAAAAAATGATTACTGATATGTAAGTAATTACTTGTCTCTTTGAAGGTAACAAATCAGTTAAATTATTATTACGAACTTGTACCTCCTTACATTTTGTTTTCTAATAAAGTTTTGCTTCAACCATCTCCATGGCATCCGTAAGGGAAACCTTATTAGGGAATGAGGAGCTGGTATGGTCTTACAATTTTGTCTTTTATCTGTTTATTGAAGGACAAGGATTTGACACTAATGGCTTTGCTTGTCTATTGAAAATTTATGGAAGTTTCATCCAGTTAGAGGGCTAATATATCTATGATATTGCTAGGGGAGTGGATGTTAGAAACTGGGGCCCTTTTTCTAGCAGATGGAGGTCTTTGTTGTATTTACGAATTTGATAGGTATGCCCTCTAAATAATAATCACAACTCTTTACTAGGAGCAAAACAGATTTTTCATCTTATACATTATGTAGATTGTAGATAAGATTTATATATTATTTGTAAATAGTTTGTTAGTTTAGGATAAAATCTCCTAGTTTATCTCTAATTTAAATTTTAAATAGAATTTGAATTATGTTAGACTTGTACAAAAGAGGTCCTTAAAAGGATGATGACTCTTCTTTTTATGTTGAGGAAAATGCAATAGAAGATATGCTTCTGAAGTTGCTTTTTTTGGTCTTTTAGAACCTGCTCTTTCACAAAGAAACTATATATTTCTGAACGACAAAAGAACAATTAATAGTGATAGAAAGTAAGTACTGTAACTTCCAAATGGTTATAGATTAGGATATACAAGATAAAGGACCAAGGCAGAAACAGGATCTAACCAAAGCATCAACCTAAAGCAACATACTTAGATTTCCAAACTCCAAATCAAATGATGGTGGTTATGATTCATGTATCTATGGAACAAAATTTATAACTGATCTGTATTTTCTTTTTTGTTTAATAAATATTTATCGTATTTCTTCCTTTTTTGGGGGTGGGGCTGTGGGATATAGTATGAGAGAACACGATAGGGCAACCATATATGAAGCAATGGAGCAGAAGACTATAAGTGTTGCAATGGTAGAGCATTTTTGCCACATTCGTTACCATAACTTGAGTTTGAATTCACGCGGATCACTATTTTGGTTAAAAAGTCTTCTCAAAACACCTTCCACTCTGTCATAATTAACCCTAGAGTTGTTTAATTCCTTATCTATTAATTATTTTTGGGGTAGGAAAGGCTAGAGGATCTGTATAACGGGAAAAAAAATCTTCTGTTCTACTTGAACTGTGGAAAAAGTAGTGGAGATGTTTGCCACTTTATCCTAGGGTGATTCGTGTACTTTAGAATTGTTTCATGGTCAATATTTATTCCAATAATTTTATCTTTTTCAATTAGTTTTCATTTATGTTTCTACTCAATTTATTCCAACAAATTGAACATTCAATAAACTTTAACGTGCATTCCAAACCTTAAGGCGAAGTCGTGGAGAAGATCCTTACCCTGTACAATACCGTGTTCATATCCATCTTCAAGTGCCTATGCCGTTTTCGCAACTTCACATGTTTTATTTTCTTTTACCTGTTAGAGAAGATCTGGAATAGTCTATTACTGTATTTTGCTGCATTATATTCGGATAATACCATACAAACCAGGTTTTAGCTTGGAGGCTATCAAGATTAATTAGTTTATGCAGCCTTTGCAATATTCTTTGAGATCTTTCATTTCTGTTTTCTCTGTCTACTTAAAATTTTGGTTGATTGTTAAGCAACTCTTTTCGGAGGGCAAAGAAGCAAAGCTTGTTAATCAACGTAATCTTGAATGGGGCCTATATCATCCTTGCCCAAATTTTGCATCCCACATTATTGGTTTCTTTTTGAATACTTTAGGAAAGTTGAGAGTTGTGAGATTTGTGAAGTTTATGGTGGATGCCATTGCCTCCTGTGAGTTGTGTTAGGTTTAAACTTTGAGTTTCCCACTTTATCTCTAATTCTAATATCCTAGTTTGTAGGAAAGACAACTTTTGATTTACTTAGAATCAGGGATTTAAATAGCGTTTGCGGTCGCGTTTTCGATCGCGTCGCGTTTATCGCGGTTGCGGACATAATAGATGCCATCGCGATCACTGTACGTGTCGCGGTCGTGAATTTTTTTTAATTTCACACAATTTATCGTAAAACATAATAATTATAATTATAATGTTAAGGAGTGACCAAAATAGTAGCAATCTGAAAGTTTAATGAGTAAATAAAAAAATTTTAAACTTCAGTGAGTAAAATAAGAGAGATAAGAAAGTTAAGTGATGATTTATGTAGTTTACCCTAATTAAAAAGAATAGAAAATGGGAGTAACTAAGTAAAAGTGGAACGACTTTTCTTCTCTTCTTACTTCTCAAGGGTTTTTTACTCTTTTCAGGCAGGAGTTTAATTTTTCTCCGATTTTTGACTCATTGTCTCTTCCCCTGTTTCCTCTTTGGCATCCACTCTTTAATCGCTTATTTTCCCACGGCTGAAGTTTGGTCAATTGAGCACATCTCTTTCTCTTTGGCCTCCCCTTTTTCTACTTGTTCTTTTTTAATGCTATTGGATAACGGAGATAGCATTCCGTTATCGATGTTATTTACCGTTAAACGCTAAATTGCGACCACGAAGGACCACTATTATCGTGATTTCACTACCACCATGATTTTCCAAAATATTGGTTTCGGACGGTGGTGTTACCGCGAAATAGCGACAGTTATTACGGTTGCGTTCCGCTATTTGAATCCCTGCTTAGAACTCTTATCTATCTCTTATAAACCCTATTTTTCCCTTTCTTTTATGTGTGTGAATCTTAAATAAAAATAAAAGCTTTCCTTGTTGAAAACCCTAGTTTTACATGGTATCAGTTTAGGTTAGATTCTTTACTACCCTCTCTCGACTCTTCCCAATATTATTAAACGCAAATAAAAAAAGTAAACTCCACCACTCTTACACCTCTCTTCAGTGGTAGACTCTCCGCTCTTCTTGTTGTGCTTCCTCACATGCCTCTGGTTCCTTAAGAACTTTGGATCCATCCCTTTGGTGGAAGTGTGGCGATGCCTCTTGAGTTTCTTGATGCCATTCTTGTGAGCCTTAAAGTTGATCCAATTAAATATGAATTATGGCCAGTGTATATGAAGTGATGCGACAATGGAGCTGTCATTTCATGGTGGACCTTCGATGTTCCAACAACTTCACCTGTGCGCTTCCGAGCCCAAACAGGCGTGTGTTGTCTGCGAAGGTAGTCTTGGATTGTTGATTCAGGAGCAAGTGATCATATGACGAGCAATTTCAATCTTTTTCAAAGTTTTCAGAAAGACAATTCCTCTTGTAGTGTCCATACAGCCGATGGTTTTCTCTCGCCTATTGTGGGCAGTGGCTCAATTCGCCTTAATCGCCACATTGTTTTATCTAATGTTCTCTACGTTCCGAATTGGCTTGCAGTCTTCTTTCAATTAGTAAATTGTCTGCTGATTTGGGCTGCACTTCTCGTTTTTACTCTGAATTTTGGGAATTTCAGGATTTTAACTCGGGATGGTGATTGGCAGTGCTAGGCATCGTGGTGGACTTTACATCCTTGAAGCCCCTCCTCCCTTCCAACTCGAGTACACCCTCTTGTTATATCTTCCTTTGTTTCCATATCCCCAAATGATGCGACTGGCAAAATTGTCTTGTGGCACTTTAGGTTAGGTCATCCTAGTTTTAGTTACCTTGCAAAATTGTTTCCCAAACTTTTCATTAACAAAATTCCCGTATATTTTTCTTGTGATATTTGTAAGCCTAGTAAAATTCTTGCCTTTAAATGTCCCCGAGATATTCTTTCAAAATGATCACGTCATTTCAAACCTTTCAGCACATATGTTCCTCTTCGTGTCTTTGGTTGTACAGCCTTTGTCCATGATCATAACCACACTAAATCTAAGCTTGATCCTCGAGCAATCCGATGTGTCTTTGTCAGATACTCGTCTCTCCAGAAAGGTTATCGATGTTATTCTCATTTACCAAAAAGTTCTTCAATTCTATGGATGTTACTTTCCAAGAACATAAGTCCTCTTCAAAACATGAAATCCAGGGAGAGTGAGTATGAATTTCAATTTTTTTCGATTAATACTGAACTACCCATCAATCTATCTCTTACTACACCTACCACCACTGAATCGACACCTAACACCACCATATTCGATGTTGAAAACTAAACTCTTAACCCAGCCGAATCTCCTAAAACACCAAGGTCATCTACAACACCCCTTACCGATCCCCTTACCTACAAACGATGACCAAACTAGTCCCACAACCCACTACACAACCTATGCAATGTCAAGAGCCGGAACCAGGTTTAAATTCCTTGAAAAATGAAGGAGATGATGATCAAAGTTTGGATGTGATGATTAATACTAGTGAGTTATCGATAGCTCAAAGGAAAGGAATATGACGATGTACAACTTATCCTATCAATAAATTTATTTCTTATGGTAAATCAATGCCTGGTTTTAAGACATTTACAACTCAGGTCGACAACATTCGCATTCCAGAGACTAGGAAAAGCATTAAAAAATACCTAGTGGAAGAATGAAGTGGAAGAAGGCAGTAGAAGAAGAACTTTCAGCCCTTGAAAACAACAAAACTTGGGTTATTGTCAATCTTCCTAAAGATAAGAAACCGATTGGCTGCCAATGGGTATTTACTGTGAAATACAAGGCAGGTGGCAGTGTTGAGCTGTATAAGGTTAGACTTACTCAGACTCATGGAGTAGACTATCAAGAGACTTTTGCTCCAGTTGCAAAGCTCAATTCGATATGAGTACTATTATCCTTGGCTATAAATAAGGATTGGATACTTCATCGGCTAATGTCAAGAATACTTTTCTCAAAGACAATCTTGAAGAAGAAGTCTATAAGCGAGTTCCATCAGGAGTAAAAAAACATTTTGGAAATCAGCGTGTTTGCAATTTGTTGAAGTCCTTATATGGTGTAAAACAATCTATTCGGGCTTGGTTTGATAGAATCACTAAGGTACTTTTGCATGGCAACTATAAACAATGTTAGTCTGATCATACTCTGTTTGTAAAAACTGCTCCAGATAAGAAGGCGATTTTGATTGTATCATCATCATAGGTGAAGACTTAATAGAAATCAAGAAATTGAAGACGTTACTAGCAAAGGAATTCGAAACCAAGGACTTAGGGACCTTGAAATATTTTTTGGGCATGGAAGTGGTAAGATCAAGAGAAGGAATTGCCATAAATTAAAGAAAGTACGTTCTACACTTACTCTCTAAGACTGGAATGACTGGTTGCAAGCCCTCGGAAACTCCCATGGAATTTAATCTGAAGTTGAGAAAAGACGAGAATTTAGTAAACAAGGAGATGTATCAAAGATTAGTTTGTAAGCTCATTTATCTATCCCTAACTAGGCCAAACATTGCCTACTCGGTTAGTATTGTGAGCCAATACATGAATGATCCTAAATAAGAACATTTGGAGATAGTAAATTGAATTTTGAGAATCTAAAGATGACACCGGGACATGGGCTAATTTTCAAAAAACATGAAGATAAAACAATAAAAATTTTCACAGATTCGAGCTGGGCTAGAGAATTAACTGATAGAAGATTAACTACAGGTTATTGTTCGTTTTTTAGGGGAAACTTCGTGACTTGGAGAAGCAAGAAACAAATAATAGTCTCAAGAAGCAGTGCAGAAGCAAAATATCGGGAGATAACACTCAAAATCTGTGAAGGTGTTTGGTTTTAAAGGCTCCTAACCGAACTAGAGATGTGCGACAAAAGCCACTTTGAACTTCAGAGCGATAGAAAGTCGGCAATAAGTATTGCGAAGAATCCAATACATTATGACATAACAAAACATGTGGAGATCGACAGACACTTCATTGCAGAGAAAGTGAATGGCAGACCTGTAAAGCTAAACTATGTCTCTTCACAAAATCAGCTAGTTGATGTATTGACCAAGGCACTTCCGAGGATTACTTTCGACGAAATTACATCCAAGCTATGTCTTTATAATATTTACTCCCTAACTTGAGGGGGGTGTGAGTTGTGTTAGGTTTAAACTCTGAGTTTCCCACTTTATCTCTAATTCTAGTATCCTAGTTTGTAGGAAAGACAACTTTTGATTTACTTAGAACTCTTATTTATCTCTTATAAACCCCCCATGTATTCTTTTTCTTTTATGTGTGTGAATCTTGAATAAAATAAAAGCTTTCCTTCTTGAAAACCCTAGTTTTACACCTACATGGAATAGGCGGATTGTTGACCAAGTCACACTAATTGTTGCCATGTGCTGTTTATTTTCCTAGATTGTTTAAATTTTGTTATCTGGCATCCATCTTTTGTTCTTTATTTATTTTGAATGGCTACGTATACTTGCTTCTTGGTATAAGCACGACTATTAAACAAGTTTCGGCATCTTTCTTATTTTTCAGGCTGGCCTTGTTACTGCTCTTAGTACCAGGACAATTGTTTTTGGGGCAACAAATCCCAAAGGACACTATGATTCTGATCAACGTATCATTTCAATTTAGATAATTAGTTTGATTGAAATTTTGCGTTCTAAACAATTCTTTCCCCAAGCCTTTTCTATCTATAGTTTCATTCCATCTACCCTGAATGTTTCTCGTAGTTTTACTTATATTGTATTGTTCTTAACCAAATCTAGCTCTTTCTGTCAATACGTCACTCTCTGGTCCCTTACTAAGTAGATTTGATATTGTCCTTGTCCTCTTGGATACAAAGAACCCTGAATGGGATGCAGTTGTATCATCACACATTCTGGGTGAGGTAATTAGTTCCTAAACTTGTAGAGGCATTTGAATAGATATCTGACATTGAAAAAGAACAGGGATTTGAATATTAATATCAAAAATTTATTTTAATTTCAGGGAGAATACAAAAATGCCAAGCTGGATGAAGATCTAGCAAATATCTGGCCACTTTCTATCCTTTGGTGGTAAATATTTCTTTCGTGCATGGAACTATTGGATCACTCTCTAAAACTTTTGTTTAAATTCTTCTATTAGCAACCCTTTTATCATTATTATTCTTTTTCCATTTTCGTGGGAGGGGATTGGTTGGGGTTTCTAGGTAGTATTTGAAGCAAATTTATGCTGGACCGCTAAGTACTCAACAATCTTATGTGTCTCCTTGCATCATTTCAGTTTGTAGCTTTTGTAGATGTCTTGCAGGTATATTGGCTACGCAAAAAAACACTTCAAACCAGTGCTTACAAAAGAGGCCAAAAAGGTTATCTCAAGTTACTATCAACTCCAAAGGAGATCAGCCACACATAACGCAGGTTCTTCTTTTAGAAATCCTTTCTACTAGATCAAAATTGTCATTTATTTTATTGGCATTGATCATACTATAATGGGCAATGCAAAGCAAGAACAACAGTGCGCATGCTTGAAAGCTTGATACGCCTTGCTAAAGGTATGTTAGAGAATGTGTTGATTCAACATCCTCATCTGCCTTACACTTTTTTTCCGTTGGCTATCTTGTTCACAATGTTGCAGCTGTATCCAGTTGACAATAATGATTTTGATGCTCTCAATGTTGCAGCACATGCGAGGCTTATGTTCAGAAATGAGGTCACCAGATTAGACGCCATAGCAGCCATTTTATGCATTGAATCATCCATGACCATCTCTTCTATTATAGACAGCATAGGGAATGCCCTGCACTCCAATTTCACCGAAAACCCTGATCAGGAATGTATCCTTGCAAACTCTCTGCTTACTTTATAATTGAAGTGTTACTTAGGAACTTGTCAAATTGGAAAGATTTTTGAATTCTTGACTTAAATGTATAGATGCCAAGCAAGAAAAAGTAATTCTTGAAAAGTTCAGTTTGGTTGATGAGTCCCAGGAATCAAATGGCTTGGGAGGCTTCTGCTGATGGAAAATTTGCAAGAACATGGAATCATCCTTGTTGCTTTTCGGATTGCGTTAACAGCCGTAAGCTGTTCTTATAGAAAATTTACCTTTTTGCACTTTGCTAGGATAGCGAAATGCTAGTCTTGAAGTAGATGTTGAGAAAGTTCAGAAGAAAAAAACCTTTGAACGGAAACTTCTTTCAAAACCTTAGTTCCAGCCGAGGGTCTAATGGTATATCAGGATTAGTTCTGTAAATTTAGAGGAATTTCGTTTGTATTTATTAACACTGCTGTAATGTTTTTATGCCTTAGGAGACTCAAAGCCCTTTTCTAGAGGTATCCATGGCTTAAACCGAACCCTAGCTAAAAAAAATTGGTTTTGCCAATTAGAACTGAGTTGAAAGCTGTGCTAGTTATTTTAATACATGATTATGGCCTACGGTATTCTTTGGCCAAATTATAATTTTGAGTACTTTATTGTGCTTAAATTTAGATTTTAGTCTGTATACTTTAATTTGATCATTTATTTTTATAATTTCATTAGTTAGGTCAAATAGTTAATATTTTTTAATTGGAAAGTGAGGCCAACAGGCCTAATTACACAGGGACTGTAATTGAAGGGAGGTCCATGCAAGTCCCTATGCATGCATGAACATGCAAACCAAAGCTAAAGGATCTTATCGACTTGAGATCAAGTACGAACTTATCATAATTTATAAAATTTTAGGGTTATATAATATAAAGAAAATATCCAAATTATATGAAAATTTGAATTTCTCAGGGGCTCTTTCAGCCCACTCGATCAATTACATGCACGCAACTATACTATTGATCTCACCAAAACATATGGACTGGAACTAGGATTGAGATCCCTAACAAATTGGTTATTGGTTATATCAACATTATCATTCTGCACTGGGATGTGCTCAAAGCCACTAGACCAAGCTTGTAAACCTTAAAAAATGACTCATAACTCAGCTTGCAGGACTGTCACAATGCCGACGTCCTTGTTATAGCCCAGACTCCACGTATTAAGAGCAGCCCACCCTAGAAGGGGTGGCTGCCATTGAATGCTTCAGTCACCATAACGCATTGACCTCGGTCCATGCACTTGACGCTACCTTAATTCAAGCAGTCGACACCGTAGGACTTACCTGTGAAAACAAAGTAGTTTCTGTGCTTCCACGCATGGAAGCAACTCTATGGTATCTCGCTGTGAAAGCAACCATAGAGGGAAGATTAGTTGATAGCCAATCATAAAAGGGAAAATAAAAGAAAACTGGAGAAACATCTTGGCCAAGCAAACAATAGGCTCCATGCTTTTATTTTAGCGAGTTGTTTGGTAATTTTGTATTGTTATTCTTTCATATCTTTATTCATATTTGTATTAAGGTTTTAAAATGATTCAAAGTGATTTATCTATCAACAATTTTGTTGCATGTTATCTTATATGTATTGGTTCATATCCTTAAATGACTATCTACTACTACTCCTAACAGCCTAAAACAAATATATTTATGGGTGAATATAAATCGAGCTTCAAGAAAGTAATTATTAGTATCAAAGAGTCAAATTCTCGTTTTGTTGTGTCTTAATTCTTTCATATTTCTTCTTCTACTTCATTGAGGTCTTGTGAGCTGTCATTGTATTCTCCTCCATATATTTTTATATTTTGATGTTATTCCAATCTTTTTCATCAATAAACTAAAAGTAGTTGGTTGGAGCCACCAACACCTTCCCTAGTTTTCTCCTACTCGTTACCCTCTTTGATTTCTTTCTTCCTGTTTCCAGAATTTTCTTCTTTTTGGCTTTTGCTTTGATGGTTCCTCTAAATGGGTTTCCAACATAGAAAGTTAACTTCTGGTTGTACCAATGAAACCTCAACAACTAACTGCGATTTTTGTTACGACTACTGTCGTGCAGTATGTTATGAGTTTTGCCCTGGTTTTTGCTCTTTTGAGCCTGACCCATCTTATGTTCATCAATACCCTCCTCCTCCTCCTCCGACTCCTCTTTCTGATTCAAAGAAACTGAAAACGTTCGTGATCATAACTTCAACGCTCCTTGTCTCCACTTTTCTGGCTCTATGCTGTTTAGTTTACTACGCTAGAAGACGTTCTAATGCTCGGAGGAGGAGATCATTGGAGGCGGGCCGCGACGAATTCGTGGATGAAGATCATGGTCCCATCGTTGACCATCCCATCTGGTACATCAACACGGTTGGTTTGCAATCCTCCATCATCCGTTCCATCGCGGTTTGTAAGTATAAGAGAGGAGAGGGTCTTGTTGAAAGGACGGAGTGTTGTGTTTGCTTGAACGAGTTCCAAGAGGACGAGACTCTTAGACTGTTGCCTAACTGTAGCCATGCTTTTCACATATCTTGTATTGATAATTGGCTTAGATCGCACACTAACTGTCCTATGAGCCGAGCACCGATTGTTTCCAACGCCGGTAATAGGGGACCATCGTCTTCGTCTGAAGACTCCGGAGGAGCTGAAGAAACCCAAGTGGTGGCTGTGGAAGAATCTGAGAGAGGAACTGACGGTGGAACAAGTGAAATAGAGGAAATGGCTGTTGAAAATGAAGGAACAGAGGATGGGATTCAACCTATGAGAAGACCAGTTTCTTTGGATTCCATGGCAGCTTCTCAAATCAGCCATGGTCTTGTTAATGGTAATGGTAATTCAGATAATGAATTGGGTAAGGGAAACAAGTGAGGGTAAGTCTAAAACTGATTTTGACACTAAAAATACTTTAGGTAAATATCATATTTAGTCATGCACCTATTTCCGTAGTTTCATTTTGGTCACCTAATTATTTGTTTTTCAAAATCATACATAACCTTACATTTTGGTTCTGTTTAAAAATAAATAGATTGATATTTCTTTTCAATAATGACGTGACATAACCTTAAGGTGACACGTCAACACCACCATTAATTTTCTAACAACGAGTGACCAAAACGTAACGTTAGGTATGATTTTAAAGAAAAAAAATTGAGTGACCAAAATGGAACAGGGAAATATTTGATTGGCTAAAAGAAATGACAAACATACTATAAAATGTCTTGGGAACCCAACAAGCTGTGAGTTTTCTTTATATATATGATCTCAAGAAACTAGAGTAATAGATGATGCATAACTCTTATAATAATACACATGAACAAGGTTCATGAAAAAAAATGATCCTTGTTGGAGCAATTGTGAATCGTTAGTAAACTTTTTGAGACAAAAATGATTATGTTATCTTGTTGTTTAATTATTGTTGCCTATGCAAAACTAGGCATGTAGAGGTGCAGATCTGTCTATTGTTCAACAATAGAAAATGTTCAAATTTTAGCATTGATCTTATTTGTGTCTATTGGAGAACCCAAGTGAAATGAACCTTTGATGTCCCTGCAGCTTCTAAAATGCTATAATCAAGACATTTCAAAGGTTTTAATTTAAGATAATAAATGGGTAAAAATAAACCTGAACAAATTTTAATTATACCTTAATATAACAAGTTCATTATGCATTTAAGAAAATATGGTATCAATACTTAATCTTGAGTATTGGTATTCTTGATATATATATTGTAACACCTCTAACTCGATTAATTGAGAATCAATTCAATGATATCACATTGATTGATCGTAACTTAATTTATTCGTATCAAATCTAAAATAGACAATAAAACTCTCAAACTTATCAACATTCTCATAATCATGGACCGATTTTCATAAACAACAAACATAAGAACCTCAAAACAAAGAATTTCTTCAAAGGAGACAATGTGACAATTCTACACATTTTAAGGAGTAATTTTTAAATTGTAAATCTTTCAAGAATAATTTGATATATTCATTTTAATTGATTTGAAATATTATTAGACACATGCTCTTTCGAAATTAATTAAAAAATGGTCCAATTCTGACGCCAATTGATAAAGTTATAAATTAAAGACAAAATTTTAAAATTTAAAGCTCAATTTCAAAATTGTGTGCCCAATTTAAAAAACAGAGCCCCTAATTTCGACACTAAAACTTGGGTTTCAAAATTAAACGTATAAAATTTTACAAATCGGCTTAAGTTTTACTAACCTCAAAAAACTTATTTTTTTCATCTAACAATTCAAGTTGAGAGCATTTAACATCAAATTACTCTCACCATATATCAAAACCTCAACAAGCAAATCAGATACAATCATCAACAACATCACTTAAACATGAATCATTCAAAGTTAAGCCTTAAAGTTCATATATTGATTCATTTTCAAGAGATTATCAATAATCATGCAATTATAAGTTTCATAAACTTAACTTGATATCATTCTATGAGTATCAAATTTAACACTAAACTTAACAGCAAATATCAAAACAAACCAAACAGTGACAAGTTTAACCACAAGAGAAAAAGTATCGACATAGTCAACACCCTTTCTTTAACTATACCCCTTGGCTACAAGGCATGCCTTATATCTTTCAATAGTATCAGAAGTTGTATTTGATTTTGTAGACTCATTTGCGACCAATGAGAATTTTATTTGGTGGCAAAAGAACCACATACCATGTACCACTAGTTTTCAAGACTTGAATTTCTTCTTTCATGGCTTGAATCCACACAAAAATTTAATAACTTCTGTAACATCCTCAAAACCGGTTAGTGACTAAATTGTAAAACTTTAGAATTTAGTGACTAAAGTAAAAAATTGAAAAGTTTAGGGACTTATATTGAAAATTTTGTGTAGGACTAAGTAGCAAAGAAGGAGGAATGGAAGGGAAAAATGGTCATTTGACCTATAGATGAATTAAAAATATATTGTGGTAAGGATATATACACGTGGAGTTGAAGAATTAAAGGAAAAAGAAAGTTTTCAGAGAACTCTTCTTCACTCTTCTTTATCTTCAGTCGTGAGCTACCATAACAAGGTGAGTCTTCTTGTTAGTTGATTTTGGATTGAATTTAAGTTTGGTTTATGATCCTTATATGATACTTAAGCTTAAGGAAAGCTTATGTTATCTTAAAATCAAAAAATGAAGGAGTTAGAAAGGATTAAAAATAAGGGGTTTAAAAGTAAAATCTTGGAAAAGAGTTGATAAGTAGAATTTGAAAATAAACTTGACTTGTCATCAGTTAAATTAAGAAGTATGAAGTGTTAGAATTGAAATTAGAACATGTTGGAAATTTGGTATGATTCTTAATTTCAAGATATAGGAGGAGATTTTGAAGATAAAAATGTGTTAGGTGAATAGAAATTGGTTTAAGTATGTGTACTTGAGTTAAGAGTATGAAAGGGAATAAGACATGAAGGATTTGAGTTGATATGGATAAATTTTTGGGTTTTAAAAGTGAAATCTGGTCTAAGAGTATCAATACTTCTTCATCCAGTACCGATACTTCAAGAGTAAAATAGTGATTTTTGGTATAGGGGTATCGATGCTGGTTGAACAGTATTGATACTATAAGCCTGAATTTGACAACGTTATTCATGGAGTATCAATACTTGTGAAAGTAATATCGATACCAAGGGTACCGATACCATAAGATCAGTATCAGTACCATTTTTTAAATAAGTATTACAGAATCAAAAATGGGTATCGATACCCCGGCTTGGTATCGATACCACAGCTAAGGAAGTATATGTATAATTAAGGATAGTATCGATACTACTCAAGTAGAAATTTATATAAAGCCTTTCTTTTAGCTTAAGATTATTAGGATCAAATTATGATGTTTAGATTGATGATATGTGTATAAAATGTATGATTGTGTAGATATCGAGTACAAGCAAGTTCTGGAATGACCGTAGAGTTAGGATCAATCCAAAGAGATAAAATCATAGAAATGGATTTTGGAATTAAGTAAGGCTAAGGTGAGTGCATACTAGTTCAATGGAAAAAAAACTTGTGATAAGTCTATTTCCTATGTTAGTTTTCATGGTCCAATAGTTATGAATATGCTATATGTGCATGTGATATGTGATATGAGAGCTATAGGTATAGTTGGCATGCCAAGAGTCGATGGTTACATAGGTCCTTCGGGACATATACATGAGGTCATTCAGGACAAATTTCACATGCCACTCAGTGGACCCTTATATGAGCTGTGGGGACAACATATGTGCACAACCTCAATGTAATCGCACTCCTTAAGTTCTCAGTAATGTACATAAGCCTATAAAAGATATAAAAAGTGTTAACATGATAACATTATTATGTTCTATCATGTTATTATTGTTTACAATGAATAATATGTGATATGATAGAATAATGATATGATAGTTATGATTTTATTTGAATAATTACATTGCATGTTCATATTTATAGGAAATACATTATTATATTTTTATAAGTCTATGACTTAGCGTATAAGTTTTACATGTAGGTACTGAGAAGTAAGAGGATCAGACCTAGGTCCAGCAGAACAACATACCTCCACTCGTAGACCAGATCAGAAGTAAATTCACAGTATGTATTTTGTTATATCAAATGTGTTGGCATGTAGAAAAGTGTAATTTACATATGCTCTAATAAGTTTTTGTAATATTTTGATCGTACTTATGTAAATTATTAACTTTATTTTAATGAAAGTTTAAATTTTTATGATTTTATAAGTTTTAAAAGTTTTGATCAGTCATTGTGACACCTCGGATTCGTATTCGGGTCGGGTACGGGTTGGGGATGTTATATTTAATGGTATCAGAGCTACGGTTTAGCCAATTCTAGGCATAAACTAGAGTCTAGAGTGTCTTTAAATGTGTACATGCCAACATAAAAGTAAGAACTTCTGATCTGATAACAGTAACGAGTATGTTGTTTTGCTAATAGAGATATATGGTTATCTCTTATTAGATGTCTGGACATGATAGCTCCCGAAGTGAAGCGAGAGATGATAGGCCAGCTGAGAGTAGTAATTCACCTGCCCTAGCCAGGAAAGGTAAAGGACATGCACCTTCTGGAGTACCTGTACAAGACCAAGACGTTTTCTTCATGACGTTGGACGCTATCTTGACGCATTTCCAACCTCATTCTTTCTCAACTCAGAGGATGAACATAGCAAAGGAGTTAAAGGAATTATGAGCTCCTGAGTTCAAAGGTGACGCAGAGGAAGGTCCTGTTGCTGCGGACCTCTGGTTCAATGATGTGAAGATCATGTTAGATGGACTCCACTATTCTGATATGGAGAAGTTAGATGAAGTAGTCTTCTTGCTTCGTGGGCAAGAGAGAATCTAGTGGACGAATGTCACTATGAGGATGACCAGTGATCAGGTGTCATGGTCTTTGTTTCTAAAAGAGTTTAAGCACAAGTAAATAGGAGATCAGTTCATCAAACAGATGAAGTAAGAATTTTTGACTCTGAAGCAATGGAACCACACTGTGTATGAATATGAGTACGAGTTTAACAAGTTAACTCATTTTGCAGCTGAGTTGATTCCGACAGAGAAAGACGCATGCAAGTGGTTTGTTGAGGGCTTGCGCCCAAGGTTAAAAGAGATGTTGATCGTATTGAACTTGTCCGTGTTTCAAGATGTAGTGAATCATACTAAAGCTCTAGAGAGAGCCCTTAATGAACGGTTTGGGGAGCAAAGAGCCCAACCGTCTAAAAGAACTGAGGCTTCATCGAGTTTTGCACCATCCAAGAGAGGTAGGGATTCTGGTTTTTGATCTCATGCGAGATCTGAGTCAGTGGCATCCTCTGCTAGGGGATCAAACCAGATAAGAACTAGAAAGACTCAAT